ATCTATAATGTCTCTATTCAGTTGAGAAAAGCTCTCATTCTAACTTTTTTAAAGATCCAAATAAGTAAAGTTGCATATTTACGAGAATAAACACATTTTCTGAGATTATAAAAACTTCCGTATTTAGAAGGAAATGGGTAGAAAATTTGAGACTAAAACGCAAATTTACAAGAAAATAAACATGCATGTTTACAAGATCGTAAGCATGTAAATTTAGAAGAAAAATTAGAGAAAAATGCGATTTAAAGAGGAATTTGAAAAAAATCGTTTTAAAAAAATAATTCATGCCTATTTTAAATTTCAGTGTTTGTACACTTTGCTATTTTTAAATCGAAGAAATTAAACTTTTTTTTTTACCTTTTTTTTCTCTTAAAACTTTTCCTATTTTAATATTTTGTTCTAATTTTTTAAAATATATTTTACTTTTCGATATAAGATAGAAAAATATTTCTTCACATTTTTTGTCTTATTTGGCAAAATCTTGATTTTCGTTATTATTCCCCCACTAAATGAAAGAAATAAGAATGTATTATTATCTAGAGATGATTAATAACAGGAGGAGAAATGCAGCTCCAGATGAGCCGAGCGTGTGATGTCATCAGTACATCAGTTCCAGTTGACCCAGATTTATTCCGCGTTCTCCCAGAGTTCAGACTTTCCTGGGTTCTAGTCAAGAACAGACTTGGCGAGAACACGAGTCCGTACTCGCGTTCTAGTGAGTTGAGAAACGGCCTCAATTTACTTTCCTAACCAAAGTGTTGTTCTGCTTCAGTTAAATACCCATAATGCTTTGCTGCATCATCATGACTGATTCCATCCTGGAAGAAAAACAACATGGAAATAGAGCTGGTTTGTTCCAGGTTCGCTTATCGGGATTCTGATCAGATGGAAGCAGATTAGTTTCTGTGTGTTTATTGGTTGATCTTTCATTGGGAGGAGGAGGAGGAGGAGGATCCGCCTTCCTGACTTTGTCTGTTTTTACCTGCAGCTTGAAGCGTTTCCCTGGTTACGACTTGGAGAGCAAGGAGTTCAACGCCGAGGTGCACCGAAGGCACATCATGGGCATGAACGTGGCCGACTACATGTCCTACCTGATGGAGGAGGACGAGGAGGCCTACAAGAAGCAGTTCTCTCGCTTCATCAAGAACGGAGTGGCACCAGACACGGTAGGACGCTGTCCGTCGCTCGCACCGTGAAATCCAGCGTCCCGCATCGTTAGCTGATGTTCACCGTGGTTTTAGAAGCACAGCTCGCCGTTCTGAACGCCGCCGTTTAAACGTTTCCCTTCTTTTGGTTTCAGGTAGAAGAAATGTATAAGAAAGCACACGCCGCCATCAGAGCGAATCCCGTACTTGAAAAGAAACCCAAAAGAGACGTCACAAAGAAGAGGTGGGTTAACCGCGTCCAATCAGAGCAGCCGCTCAGCCGATGGAGCGAACCTTCATCAGTCGGCTTGTTTTGTTTTTCTGGTGCAGGTGGAACCGCGCCAAGTTGTCGCTGGCACAGAGGAAGAACCGCGTCGCCCAGAAAAAAGCCAGCTTCTTACGAGCACAAGAACAAGAAGCAGGGGACGGTTAGGGGACGGTTAGGGGCCGACAGGACGGGGCCCGTCCTCACAGACTAATAAATGTGTTCAAGTCCACCCCGTCTCTGTGTCTCTGTCTTCCACTGCAGCCTCACAGTTAAACCGTAAAATAATTTAGCTTCTAGAAACATTAATGTCTGATAGACGACTTAATAAGAGTGTATGTATGGAGAGAAAGTTGGTCCAACATTATGGAACGCCAAGAACGCGTTTCAAAGAAGGGAATTTGAAGGAAACTCATTTCAAGTTTGAACACTTACAAATTTTTCTCTATAAAAACGGCTTTGAAAGTTATTAGTTTGCAGAATATGAAATATATATGTTTTGAGAATTTTTTTCTTATTTTATTTTCCTTTTATATAAATGTATAGAAATATATATAT